AATAATGGGAGCTCTGGTGGCATAGTGCCTAAGGCATTTGACTGCTAACCAGAAGGCTGTCAGTTCAAACCCACCAGCCACTCCTTGGAAGGAAGATTGGCCTATCTACTTCTGTAGTAATACTGCCGTAGAAACCCAAGGAGTCGCCGCTACAAGTTGGATCCGAATCAATGGCAGTGAGTATAATATATAATATGTGTTATTTATACTAACTATATATTAGATTGTATAGTCCAACTGTACCCATTAAGTTAAGATAAAAATTAGAACTGAATATGTCAAAATTTTCTACAAAAATTCTACATTATTTTATAACCATATATAAAAGCTATTAAAACTTTTAAAAGTACCATGGTTAAATGGGACACTCATCCAATATGACTGCTCCCACTTGGAACCTGGTCCCAAAGTAGCCCCCACAGGAGAGGCTGCCTACTGAGATTATGAGGAAAGGACAGGCACCTCTTTCTGTTCACTGCCAGCACAGTGAGTAGAGGGGGTCCACTGAGCCTTCCACTCATTGTCGGCCTGTAAAGATGTCTTTTTCCCATCTTCTGAAAGGGGAGTAGAGGGGATGGCCATAGCAGCAGTAAAGACAGTGTCCTCCATATTACTCATCAGCCTCTCATCTTCTGTACTCAGACTGTCTCTGGCCTCCTTCAGCTGCATGCTCTGAAGAAACAGCCGACAAGCTTCTAAGTCAGCTTCCCACACTTTTTCAAGCAGTGGACTCTGGCAGCTAAAACAGAAGGGAAACAAATGCACAGAAATTAACAAACCAAGTCAATACTTACCTAGCTGGTTAAATGTTAACAAATCATAATTAAAAATTTAATTTCACATAGTGATAAATAATTTCAACCACAAGAGTCAGAGGGGGCAAATTTGTATAAGATCAAGCAACAGTGATATAAGTAGTTGACTCTCCTTAGCTATCTGATCTGCAGGGCCATTCGAGGTCCTGCACACATCTCCAGATTCAGTGGTTCCAATATAACACACTCTCCCCCTGTGTCTGTACTCTAGCTATGGGTTCTTTCTATGAGTCCCCAAACTTGTCCAACTCTCTCTGACTTTTCATATTCTGCTTTCTCTGCCTAGACACCCCACCCTTACCACCCTGAAACCCTCTCTGACCCCCACATACCCCCAAGCCTTCATCTGACTGAATTCTATTATCTTTAGATTTCAGCTTAAGTATACATTTTTTGGGGGAGGAACGTTCCCTGACTCCCAAGTAGAAATTTATAACAGGTTTATAAGCATCGTATATTTTTCCTTCAGAGAATTTATCACAATTCCAATTATTTTTTAAATATAATTATTATTATTTTTGTTTTCTCTAAGAACAGGGCTTCTGGCTAGCTTGTTCTCCTATGGCTAGAATCTATCAACATGGATCATGACATCATGAATTCAAATGCCTAGATGCCCAGAAGATAATATATAAATGAGCGAAGCAAGATAGGAGGAATCTAAATCACAACAACTGATATCCAGCCTCATGGTGGAAGACAATAGAGAGGAATGGATTCTGGCTAGTCATCCCTCCACAGGAAGCTCTTCTTCAGCTCAGGCCAACTAAAGCTATGAAGAATATGGACTTAATGTTGACAAAAGTTCTGATTTTCCAGGGAAAGCCAAGAATCTGGGATTTAAGATAAAATGTACATATTTATTCATCCATCCACATTCAGTTTAATGCTAGATATTATCTACAGACCTATTTTTTCATTTAATAGCCCTTTACTATGTCTAATCTGCTCTTCAATCCATCTATTGAATTCTAAATTTTACCTATTTTACCTTCTAGTGCCAGAATTTATATCTGTTTCTTTCATATATTACAAGGAGCTCTGGTGGTGTAGTGGTTAAGGCATATGTCTGCTAATCAAAAGGTCCATGGTTCAAACCCACAAACTGCTCCATGGAAAAATGATGGGGCAGTCTGCTTCCATAAAGATTTACAGTGTAGGAAACCCAATGGGGGTTGCTATGAATTAGAATCAACTCAATGGCAGTGAGTTTGAATCACAGTTTTCTGTTGAAATTCTCTATCATGTCTTTTATTTTCTTGGATATCAATCATAGTTATTTTAAAGCTCATGTCTGTAAATCATGAATACAGAAAGAAAGATTAAAAATAAGGAAGAAGAAATATTAGATGAGTTACTAGTTAAGAACTTTTAAATACTAATGTGGGACATCAAATACATATTTGTTGTTGTTGTTGTTATGTGCCGTCGAGTCGGCCCCGACTCATAGCGACCCCTCCTTGGGTTTTCGAGGCAGTATCACTACGGAAGTAGGATTGCCCAACCTTCCTTCCGAGGAGTGGCTGGTGGGTTTAGTATGCACTAAAATCCCCTATAATGAAATGTGCAAAGACCTGGAGTTTGAAAACTAAAAGGGAAGAACACACTCAGCATTTCTTAAGCTGAAAAAATTGAAGAAAAAATTGAAGCCTTGAGTTGCAATATTGAGAGTCTATGGGCAAAATATTGAATGATGCAGGAAACATCAAAAGAAGATGACAAGAATACACAGAATCACTGTACCAGAAAGAACTGGTCAATCTTCATCCATTTCAGGAAGTGGCATATGATCTAGAACCAATGGTACTGAAGGAGGAAGTCAAAGCTGCAATGAAAGAATTGGTGAAGAGCAAGGCTCCGGGAATTGACAGAATTCCCATTGAGATATTTCAACAAATGGATGCCCCATTGGAGGAACTCATTTGATTATGTCAAGAGATTTGGAAAACAGCTACCTGGCCAACTGACTGGAAGAGATCCATATTTGTACCCATTCCAAAAAAAGGTGATCCCACAGATTGTGGAAATTATAGAATAATAACATTGATATCACAAACAAGTAATATTTTACTGAAGATAATTAAAAAACGGTTGCAGCAGTATATTGACAGAGAACTTCC